TATATATACATATATATATATATATATATATATATATATTATATATATATTATATATTTATATATTATTTATGTATATATATTATATATATATATATATATATATATATCTTGTTTTTGTAATAAAATATTATCTTTCCATATAGGTTTACATATTTGTGAGTGTTATTAGCCCTACGTTAAAACATATTATTCGCTACTACAACAAGTCCACGCCAAGTAGTATAGTGTTCCAACATACCTTTAGTGACGACATTTGTGTACATGATATATGCGTCACCGGTCCCAACATTCAACCAATGCTAACCACGTGTAAGTAGGCATAATAGCTTGTTTTAGATCGGGCAATTGTTTCATTGTACAAGTGTTTTTCTAAAATCTAATATTTCTTTTCTTTCTAGTACCGTGCGATTTACATACATGTAGCCACCTTTGTGCATCGGCTGCCGACGGAAAACACGAATGTATATGTGGTGATAACTATGTTTTATATCCAAACGGAACATGCAGTATTGGTTTGTATATCTAACCTTTTTATTACGCCATTAATCCAAATTTACCTATTTTTATTTTATTTATTTATTTTCTTTTTTTTTGTGTGGAATTTAAGACAATTATTAATTTCTACTTTTCAAAATAAAGATAGATTCTATTGTTCCCCAATATTTTCCAAAACTCTATGCAACATGCACCGGTCCTTATTCTATCAGCTAGTCATTGATGGGACTTGCCGTCTCCAAATGTCTATGAAAATTAGCATTTTTAATACATATTGTATTTTATTATCTCTTTTCAGATTTAAACTTCTGGTATCCATCCCGTTGCATAATAGGTAGCACGGACGCGATATCATTGTTTTCCCCAACTCTAATTCATAGTTATTCGGATAATAAGCAGCAATATATTCGTGCCATTACATCTACAGAAATAATTACAGCTTTGGCAGTTGACGTACGCAGAAATTTGTTGTTTTTCGCTGAAAATACTACAAAATCAATATATGTTATGAGAATTGAAGCTGGCCAAGAAAAGAGAAGACTTTATACTTATACCGGCGGTCGGGTAGATGGTAAATATCTGTACTAAATTAACAATGCAGTATGTAAAGGGAAAATGTAAAAAGTAAAAAAAAAATTATTCTCATACGTGTGGAAAAAACAAGCTTGTACATTCTCATTTATAGTGTATCAGTGTGCAAGTGAACTTATTGTTGGCATGATTGTGACTTGGTACATCAATAAATTATTACATTTTATTTGTAATTAGTTAGATTTTGATCGTAATGCACCAGCGTAATTAAATTATTATTTTTTATTTGCCTGTCCATCGAGCCACCGCCGACCCAAAGCTGATCAATTGAAACCATTTCAGCACATACCGTACAAGACAATAATAGTAGGCAGCTGCTGTTGTTACACCGTTCCAGGGACATATCCGAACCAGTGCCTCACGTCGTCCTCGGTACTCCGTACGTGCGAAATGACTACCTTTGTCCACAGTACACTCCTGAAGACCCGAACGAATATCCTGAGTTACGTGAGAGCAGGGACGTATCCAGGGTGGGGGGGGGGGGCGCCGTGGGAGCCGCGGCTCCTCC